ACACGCAGTGTCATTGTCATCATCACACACAGTGTCATTGTCATCATCACACACAGTGTCCATTGTCATCATAACACGCAGTGTCATTGTCATCATCACACGCAGTGTCATTTGTCATCATCACACACAGTGTCATTGTCATCATCACACGCAGTGTCATTGTCATCATCACACGCAGTGTCATTGTCATCATCACACGCAGTGTTATTGTCATCATCACACGCAGTGTCATTGTCATCATCACACAGCAGTGTCATTGTCATCATCACACACAGTGTCATTGTCATCATCACACACAGTGGTCATTGTCATCATCACACGCAGTGTCATTGTCATCATCACACGCAGTGTCATTGTCATCCATCACACACAGTGTCATTGTCATCATCACACACAGTGTCATTGTCATCATCACACGCATTGTCATTATCATCATCACACGCAGTGTCATTGTCATCATCACACACAGTGTCATTGTCATCATCACACGCAGTGTCATTGTCATCATCACACACAGTGTCATTGTCATCATCACACACAGTGTCATTGTCATCATCACACGCAGTGTCATTGTCATCATCACACGCAGTGTTATTGTCATCATCACACGCAGTGTCATTGTCATCATCACACACAGTGTCATTGTCATCATCACACACAGTGTCATTGTCATCATCACACGCAGTGTCATTGTCATCATCACACGCAGTGTTATTGTCATCATCACACGCAGTGTCATTGTCATCATCACACGCAGTGTCATTGTCATCATCACACGCAGTGTCATTGTCATCATCACACACAGTGTCATTGTCATCATCACACGCAGTGTCATTGTCATCATCACACACAGTGTCATTGTCATCATCACACACAGTGTCATTGTCATCATCACACGCAGTGTCATTGTCATCGTCACACGCAGTGTCATTGTCATCATCACACGCAGTGTCATTGTCATCATCACACGCAGTGTCATTGTCATCATCACACGCAGTGTCATTGTCATCATCACACACAGTGTCATTGTCATCATCACACACGGTGTCATTGTCATCATCACACACAGTGTCATTGTCATCATCACACGCAGTGTCATTGTCATCATCACACACAGTGTCATTGTCATCATCACACGCAGTGTCATTGTCATCATCACACACAGTGTCATTGTCATCATCACACACAGTGTCATTGTCATCATCACACGCAGTGTCATTGTCATCATCACACACAGTGTCATTGTCATCGTCACACACAGTGTCATTGTCATCATCACACGCAGTGTCATTGTCATCATCACACGCAGTGTCATTGTCATCATCACACGCAGTGTCATTGTCATCATCACACGCAGTGTCATTGTCATCATCACACACAGTGTCATTGTCATCGTCACACACAGTGTCATTGTCATCATCACACACAGTGTCATTGTCATCATCACACGCAGTGTCATTGTCATCATCACACGCAGTGTCATTGTCATCATCACACACAGTGTCATTGTCATCATCACACGCAGTGTCATTGTCATCATCACACGCAGTGTCATTGTCATCATCACACACAGTGTCATTGTCATCGTCACACACAGTGTCATTGTCATCATCACACACAGTGTCATTGTCATCATCACACACAGTGTCATTGTCATCGTCACACACAGTGTCATTGTCATCGTCACACACAGTGTCATTGTCATCATCACACACAGTGTCATTGTCATCATCACACGCAGTGTCATTGTCATCATCACACACAGTGTCATTGTCATCGTCACACACAGTGTCATTGTCATCATCACACACAGTGTCATTGTCATCATCACACACAGTGTTATTGTCATCATCACACACAGTGTCATTGTCATCATCACACACAGTGTCATTGTCATCATCACACGCAGTGTCATTGTCATCATCACACGCAGTGTCATTGTCATCATCACACACAGTGTCATTGTCATCGTCACACACAGTGTCATTGTCATCATCACACACAGTGTCATTGTCATCGTCACACACGGTGTCATCGTCACACAGTGTCATTGTCATCGTCACACACGGTGTCATCGTCACACACAGTGTCATTGTCATCATCACACACGGTGTCATTGTCATCGTCACACACAGTGTCATTGTCATCGTCACACACGGTGTCATCGTCACACACGGTGTCATTGTCATCGTCACACACAGTGTCATTGTCATCGTCACACACGGTGTCATCATCACACACAGTGTCATTGTCATCGTCACACACGGTGTCATCATCACACACAGTGTCATTGTCATCATCACACACAGTGTCATTGTCACACACGGTGTCATCATCACACACAGTGTCATTGTCATTGTCACACACAGTGTCATTGTCATCGTCACACACGGTGTCATCATCACACACATTGTCATCGTCACACACGGTGTCATCATCGCACACAGTGTCATTGTCATCGTCACACACAGTGTCATTGTCATCGTCACACACGGTGTCATTGTCATCGTCACACACGGTGTCATCATCACACACAGTGTCATTGTCATCGTCACACACGGTGTCATCATCACACACAGTGTCATTGTCATCATCACACACAGTGTCATTGTCACACACGGTGTCATCATCACACACAGTGTCATTGTCATTGTCACACACAGTGTCATTGTCATCGTCACACACGGTGTCATCATCACACACATTGTCATCGTCACACACGGTGTCATCATCGCACACAGTGTCATTGTCATCGTCACACACAGTGTCATTGTCATCGTCACACACGGTGTCATCATCACACACAGTGTCATTGTCATTGTCACACACGCTGTCATCATCACACACAGTGTCAGTGTCATCATCACACACAGTGTCATTGTCATTGTCACACACGGTGTCATCGTCACACACAGTGTCATTGTCATCGTCACACACAGCGTCATAAGCTGGTACAGGCCGTGTGAGTGTGTGGTTCGTGTGTATACGAGCATGTTTGTGTGTCTGTGTGTGTATGCTGAGGCTGCCGTGCCTCAAATATTGGAAGAGGTCACCCCCTGTGAGTGGCTGGCTGAGGTGCCATCTGTTGAGGAAGTACTTAAGACGATCCGGAGTCTGAAACCAGGAAAGGCACCGGGCAGAGATGATCTCCCAAGCGAAATGCTGAGGGAGGGTGGCGTTTGTGCACAGACTGCCCTATATGACATCATAACAACAGTCTGGACCGCTAGACGGGTACCGCAGGATTGGAAAGATGCCCTGGTGGTCCCCCTCTTTAAAAAGGGGGACCGCACAGACTGTAACAACTACAGGGGCATCTCACTCCTCAGTGTGCCGGGAAAGGTCCTGGCAAGGATTATTCAACATCGCCTTGCTAGGCACGCTGAGGAGAGGCTTGCGGAACCCCAATGCGATTTCAGGAAAGGGCGGTCCTGCACAGATGCCATATTTTCTGTCCGTCTGCTACAGCAGAAGTGTAGGAAATTCCAACAAGACCTACATCTCTGCTTTATTGACCTGGTCAAGGCCTATGATACCATCAATAGGCCTGGGCTCTGGGTTGTTCTTCGTGCTTTCGGAGTCCCTGACCCTCTGCTCACGATCATTAAGGACCTTCATGATGGTGAGCGGGCCCGGGTAAAACTACGTGGCCGGGAGTCGGAGCCTTTCCCTGTACACCTTGGGGTGCGACAGGGATGTCCTCTGGCTCCCACATTATTTAACATCTACTTCGACTGCGTAGTTCGTGAAGCCTTCAATAGCTGTACCGGGGGAATTTCCATTTGGTACAGATATAATGGGAGGCTGATCGACGCCCGGGTGCGATCAAGAGATGGCTCCCTATTGGTCAACCACGTTATGTATGCCAATGATTTGGTAATAGCTCCTCATTCAGAAGAGGAGTTGGAGACGCTGCTGCTGAGACTGGAGCGTGCCACTAAGAGATGGGGCCTTACCATCAGCCCCACCAAAACTAAGCACCTGCCTGGGTATTTTGTACCATCGGACACTCCACCCCCACAACTCCCAATCGGTGATGGGGAAGTTGTGGAGAGAGTGGAGAGTTTCCCATACCTGGGCAGTGTGCTTATGACCGGCTCCAGTTCAACAGCAGAGGTCTCACTCCGAATCAGTCGAGCGGCAATATATTTTCATCGGTTGCGTAACGTTGTGTGGAAGCTACCTGGTCTGTCGCTCCGTACGAAGCTTCAGGTCTTCTCGGCCATGGTCATTCCCTCCCTTCTCTACGCTTGCGAAACGTGGACCCCCCTAATGGAGCATCTTCGCCGGTTGGAAACATTTAGGCTGGCCTGCCTACGATCCATCCTGGGTTTAACCAGGCTGGATTGTGTGAGGAGCTCACAAATCCTTGAAAGATCTGGGCAAAGTCCCATCGGTGAGCTCCTCCGGCAGGCAAGGCTGCGTTGGCTGGGTCATGTAGCCCGCATGCCCAGCCACCACATGCCTAAACAGCTTTTGTTCGGGCGGATCGAGGGGGCTAAACGGGCTCGGCACGGGCTAGAGAGAGATGGAGTGATGTGGTACAGGAGGACGTGGAGCTGAGTGGACTTGCTGATGACTGGTCCCAGCGGTGTCTTGATCGGCCTCTGGAGGAGGCTCGTGAAGGACGCTACTGGGTAGTTGGAGGCAGTCGCCCTCCAACAACAACGGAGGGCGGAGGAGCGACGCTCACAACAACGAGCGAAGTGCCTTGTGGCTAAAGCACAGCAAGTTGGCACAGTAGGGGGCACAGGTGGTGCATCAGCCAGTCATCTCGGTCAGTCGACCCGTGGCACCTGGGTCTGCCCGTGACCTCCTGCCAGGTGCACTTGGCCTGGCACAAGCGTCGTGGTGACGTCACCGCCACTTAGTGGCGAATGCGGTTGTTGTTGTTGTTGTTGTGTGTATGTGTGGTACAGGGTGTGTGTGTGTGGTACTTGCTTTGAGTGTGAGGCTATAAGGGGGCGTCTGTCTTTGTGACCCCCCCCCCGCCCCGCCAGGTGGTGGCCATCAAGATGATCGACCTGGAGGCGGCTGAGGATGAGATCGAGGACATCCAGCAGGAGATCACGGTGCTGAGTCAGTGCGACTCTCCCTTCGTCACACGCTACCACGGCTCCTACCTCAAGGTGCACACGCACGCGCACACGCACGTACACACGCACGTACACACGCACGTACACATGCACATACACACGCACATACACACGCGCATACACATACACACGCGCACACACATGTACACACACATACGCGCACGCACATACACATGCACGTACACACGCAACCACCCGGCGCTCCGCTCGTTGTTGTGAGCGTCGCTCCTCTGCCCTCCGATATTGTTGGAGGGCGACTGCCTCCAACTGCCCAGTAGCATCCTTCACGAGCCTCCTCCACAGAGGCCGATCTTGACACCGCTGGTACCAGTCATCGGCAAGTCCACTCAGCTCCACATTCTCCTGTACCACATCACTCCATCTCTTCTCTAGCACATTTAGCCCCCTCGATCCGGCCAAACAAAAGCTGTTTAGGCATGCGGTGGCTGGGCATGCGGGCTACATGACCCAGCCAACGCAGCCTTGCCTGCCGGAGGAGCTCACCGATGGGACTTTGTTCAGATCTCACACAATCCAGCCTGGTTAAACCCATGATGGATCATAGGCAGGCCAGCCTAAATGTTTCTAACCGGTGAAGATGCTCCATTAGGGGGGTCCACGTTTTGCAAGTGTAGAGTGACTGTGGCCGAGAAGACCTGAAGCTTCGTGTGGAGCGACAGACCAGGTAGCTTCCACACAGCATTACGCAACCGATGAAAAGATTTTGCCGCTCGACTATCGGAGTGAGATCTCTGCTGTCAAACCGGACCCGGTCATGAGCACACTGCCCAGGAATGAGGAACTCTCCACTCTCCTCACAACTGCCCCATCACTGATTCAGAGTTTTGGGGGTGCCGTGTTTTATGGTACAAAACACATTCCTGCGGAGGGAGCTGGTAGGAACGTTGGGTTGCTCGGTCAATGGCCAGGGTCAACGGCGGCGTGGTGTATTCCGCAAATTTGCCCGACTGTGAGGGCGGGCACAAGCCGGCGTGAGTAGGTTAAACGTTGAGTTTTATAAGGGCACCACGGGGTGATCAGCCCCTCTCCACCCAGCCCCTCCCCACCCAGCCCCTCCCCACCCAGCCCCTCCCCACCCTCTTCTCCCCACCCAGCCCCTCCCTCCCTCCCCACCCAGCCCCTCCCTGCACGACGGACACAATAATCCCCTGTGGGCTGGTGTAACCAGGAGGTTCCTACTAATAATACCCAGGCAGGTGCTTAGTTTTGGTGGGGCTGATGGTAAGGCCCCACCTCTTAGTGGCACGCTCCAGGTTCAGCAGAAACGCCTCCAAATCCTCCTGAATGAGCAGCAATTACCAGATCATCGGCATACATAATGTGGTTGACCAATAAGGAGCCATCGCTTGACTGCACCCGGGCATCGATCAGCCTCCCGTTGTATCTGTATCAGAAGGAAATTCCTCCAGTACAGCCATCGAAGGCTTCACGAACTACGTGGTCGAAATAGACACACACACAGACACAAACAGACACGCACACACAGATTCACAGATACACACACACAGACACACAGACACAAAGACAAAGATCCCCCGTGTAGCCTTAACAAACTGTACGGGCAAGTGCTGTTAGCGAGCACCTATGAAGGCCGGAAGGGCACACGAGGGGGTGGGTGGCCAGCACCACGCCTAGCCGCCTTTGTCTCCCCAATGGCGATGTTTACTACACACCACTACACCAGGTACTCATTTGAGGCCAAGTTGACCTACGGGAGGCCCAGGACCGGTTCAGATAATCGTCACCGGTGGTGTTGGCCGTGAGCGGGAATTGAACTTGGGTGGCCAGGTTCGTAGCGCAGCGTAGCGCTAATCACTACACTACCGCTCACCACACACATACTCACGTATACACACGCAAACACAGGCACCTACACGCACGTATGCACACACACGCACGCACCTACACGCACGTACGCACGCGCACGCACATCCGGGCGGTCCCCGATTGTACGACGTTACGATGCCGTTCCCAGTCTCACACCGGGGAGGGAGATGCCCCGAAGTTGAGCTGCGAACCAGGAATTCTTCCCACCGGAGCCCCCTCCTGCAGTTCCAGACTGTGTCACACACTGGGCAGCCTTGCCAGAGCTCCTCCTGCAGTTCCAGACTGTGTCACACACAGGGCAGCCTTGCCAGAACTCCTTCTGCAGTTTCAGACTGTATCACACACAGGGCAGCCTTGCCGGAACTCCCTCCTGCAGTTCCAGACTGTGTCACACACTGGGCAGGCTTGCCGGAACTCCTGCGGTTCCAGACTGTGTCACACACTGGGCAGCCTTGCCGGAACTCCTGCGGTTCCAGACTGTGTCACACACTGGGCAGCCTTGCCGGAACTCCTCCTGCAGTTCCAGACTGTGTCACACACTGGGCAGCCTTGCCGGAACTCCTCCTGCAGTTCCAGACTGTGTCACACACAGGGCAGCCTTGGCGGAACTCCCTCCTGCAGTTCCAGACTGTGTCACACACAGGGCAGCCTTGCCAGAGCTCCCTCCTGCAGTTCCAGACTGTGTCACACACAGGGCAGCCTTGCCAGAGCTCCCTCCTGCAGTTCCAGGCTGTGTTCACACACAGGGCAGCCTTGCCGGAACCACTCCTGCAGTTCCAGACTGTGTCACACACAGGGCAGCCTTGGCGGAACTCCCTCCTGCAGTTCCAGACTGTGTCACACACAGGGCAGCCTTGGCGGAACTCCCTCCTGCAGTTCCAGACTGTGTCACACACAGGGCAGCCTTGCCAGAGCTCCCTCCTGCAGTTCCAGACTGTGTCACACACAGGGCAGCCTTGCCAGAGCTCCCTCCTGCAGTTCCAGGCTGTGTCACACACAGGGCAGCCTTGCCGGAACCACTCCTGCAGTTCCAGACTGTGTCACACACAGGGCAGCCTTGCCGGAACCCCTCCTGCAGTTCCAGACTGTGTCACACACAGGGCAGCCTTGCCGGAACTCCCTCCTGCAGTTCCAGACTGTGTCACACACAGGGCAGCCTTGCCGGAGCTCCCTCCTGCAGTTCCAGACTGTGTCACACACTGGGCAGCCTTGCCGGAGCTCCTCATGCAGTTCCAGACTGTGTCACACACAGGGCAGCCTTGCCGGAGCTCCCTCCTGCAGTTCCAGACTGTGTCACACACAGGGCAGCCTTGCCGGAGCTCCTCATGCAGTTCCAGACTGTGTCACACACAGGGCAGCCTTGCCGAGCTCCCTCCTGCAGTTCCAGACTGTGTCACACACTGGGCAGCCTTGCCGGAGCTCCTCATGCAGTTCCAGACTGTGTCACACACAGGGCAGCCTTGCCGGAGCTCCCTCCTGCAGTTCCAGACTGTGTCACACACAGGGCAGCCTTGCCGGAGCTCCTCATGCAGTTCCAGACTGTGTCACACACAGGGCAGCCTTGCCGGAGCTCCTCATGCAGTTCCAGACTGTGTCACACACAGGGCAGCCTTGCCGGAGCTCCTACATGCAGTTCCAGACTGTGTCACACACAGGGCAGCCTTGCCGGAAACTCCTCCTGCAGTTCCAGACTGTGTCACACACAGGGCAGCCTTGCCGGAACTCCCTCCTGCAGTTCCAGACTGTGTCACACACAGGGCAGCCTTGCCAGAGCTCCCTCCTGCAGTTCCAGACTGTGTCACACACAGGGCAGCCTTGCCGGAACTCCCTCCTGCAGTTCCAGACTGTGTCACACACAGGGCAGCCTTGCCGGAGCTCCTCATGCAGTTCCAGACTGTGTCACTCACAGGGCAGCCTTGCCAGAGCTCCCTCCTGCAGTTCCAGACTGTGTCACACACAGGGCAGCCTTGCCGGAACTCCTCATGCAGTTCCAGACTGTGTCACGCACTGGGCAGCCTTGCCAGAGCTCCCTCCTGCAGTTCCAGACTGTGTCACACACAGGGCAGCCTTGCCGGAGCTCCTCCTGCAGTTTTCAGGCTGTGTCACACACTGGGCAGCCTTGCCGGAACTCCCTCCTGCAGTTCCAGACTGTGTCACACACAGGGCAGCCTGCCGGAACTCCTCATGCAGTTCCAGACTGTGTCACACACTGGGCAGCCTTACCGGAACTCCTCCTGCAGTTCCAGGCTGTGTCACACACAGGGCAGCCTTGCCGGAACTCCTCATGCAGTTCCAGACTGTGTCACACACAGGGCAGGCCTTGCCGGAACTCCTCCTGCAGTTTCAGGCTGTGTCACACACTGGGCAGCCTTGCCGGAACCCCTCCTGCAGTTCCAGACTGTGTAACACACAGGGCAGCCTTGCCGGAACCCCTCCTGCAGTTCCAGACTGTGTCACACACAGGGCAGCCTTGCCGGAGCTCCCTCCTGCAGTTCCAGACTGTGTCACACACTGGGCAGCCTTGCCGGAGCTCCTCATGCAGTTCCAGACTGTGTCACACACTGGGCAGCCTTGCCGGAGCTCCTCATGCAGTTCCAGACTGTGTCACACACTGGGCAGCCTTGCCGGAGCTCCTCATGCAGTTCCAGACTGTGTCACACACTGGGCAGCCTTGCCGGAGCTCCTCCTGCAGTTCCAGACTGTGTCACACACAGGGCAGCCTTGCCGGAGCTCCTCATGCAGTTCCAGACTGTGTCACACACAGGGCAGCCTTGCCGGAACTCCTCCTGCAGTTCCAGACTGTGTCACACACAGGGCAGCCTTGCCGGAACTCCCTCCTGCAGTTCCAGACTGTGTCACACACAGGGCAGCCTTGCCGGAGCTCCTCATGCAGTTCCAGACTGTGTCACACACAGGGCAGCCTTGCCAGAGCTCCCTCCTGCAGTTCCAGACTGTGTCACACACAGGGCAGCCTTGCCGGAACCTCCTCATGCAGTTCCAGACTGTGTCACGGCACTGGGCAGCCTTGCCAGAGCTCCCTCCTGCAGTTCCAGACTGTGTCACCACAGGGCAGCCTTGCCGGAGCTCCTCATGCAGTTCCAGACTGTGTCACACACAGGGCAGCCTTGCCGGAACTCCTCCTGCAGTTCCAGACTGTGTCACACACAGGGCAGCCTTGCCGGAACTCCCTCCTGCAGTTCCAGACTGTGTCACACCACAGGGCAGCCTTGCCGGAGCTCCTCATGCAGTTCCAGACTGTGTCACACACAGGGCAGCCTTGCCAGAGCTCCCTCCTGCAGTTCCAGACTGTGTCACACACAGGGCAGCCTTGCCGGAACTCCTCATGCAGTTCCAGACTGTGTCACGCACTGGGCAGCCTTGCCAGAGCTCCCTCCTGCAGTTCCAGACTGTGTTCACACACAGGGCAGCCTTGCCGGAGCTCCTCCTGCAGTTTCAGGCTGTGTCACACACTGGCAGCCTTGCCGGAACTCCCTCCTGCAGTTTCCAGACTGTGTCAACACAGGGCAGCCGTTGGCCGTAACTCCTCATGCAGTTCCAGACTGTGTCACACACAGGGCAGCCTTGCCGAACTCCTCCGCAGTTTCAGGCTGCTGTCACACACTGGTCAGCCTTGCCGGAACCCCCTCCTGCAGTTCCAGAGCTGTGTCACACACGGGCAGCCTGCCGGAACCCCTCCTGCAGTTCCAGACTGTGTCACACACAGGGCAGCCTTGCCGGAACCCCTCCTGCAGTTCCAGACTGTGTCCACACACAGGGCAGCCTTGCCGGAACCCCTCCTGCAGTTCACAGACGGTGTCACACACAGGGCAGCCTTGCCGGAGCTCCCTCCTGCAGTTCCAGACTGTGTCACACACTGGGCAGCCTTGCCGGAGCTCCTCATGCAGTTCCAGACTGTGTCACACACTGGGCAGCCTTGCCGGAGCTCCTCATGCAGTTCCAGACTGTGTCACACACTGGGCAGCCTTGCCGGAGCTCCTCATGCAGTTCCAGACTGTGTCACACACTGGGCAGCCTTGCCGGAGCTCCTCATGCAGTTCCAGACTGTGTCACACACAGGGCAGCCTTGCCGGAGCTCCTCATGCAGTTCCAGACTGTGTCACACACTGGGCAGCCTTGCCGGAGCTCCTCATGCAGTTCCAGACTGTGTCACACACTGGGCAGCCTTGCCGGAACTCCCTCCTGCAGTTCCAGACTGTGTCACACACTGGGCAGCCTTGCCGGAACTCCTCATGCAGTTCCAGACTGTGTCACACACAGGGCAGCCTTGCCGGAGCTCCTCATGCAGTTCCAGACTGTGTCACACACAGGGCAGCCTTGCCGGAACTCCCTCCTGCAGTTCCAGACTGTGTCACACACAGGGCAGCCTTGCCGGAACTCCTCCTGCAGTTCCAGACTGTGTCACACACTGGGCAGCCTTGCCGGAACTCCCTCCTGCAGTTCCAGACTGTGTCACACACAGGGCAGCCTTGCACACAATCGATGAACGCTCATCTCTGCCCGGCGCTTTCAACTGATCCCGGACTCCGAGTCGCCGCTTCGTGCGTCCTCAGCAGACTGCGTATCAGCCGGCCACTCCTCCAGTAGTTGAACTGTAAAACTAAAGATGATCAGCGCGCCCCTTGTTTTCCGGCTGCTTCCAACACTTATCCGGCTGCGTTCCTGGGTCTGATCCGGCAAAACCGCTCCAAAGATTGTAACCAAATCGGGCGATCGGCACCACAAAGTAGCTCCACTTGTATTCTTGGTTCTTTCGGTAAAGTCACGTAGAAGGGAAATAATAAAATAATAAAATATATAAAACAATAAAATTCTCATGACGTTTCGACTTGTGAGAATTGTATTGTTTTTATTTGTATTATTTTATTATTTCCCTTCTACGTGATGACTTTACCGAAAGAACCAAGAATATGAATCCCTGCAGTCACGAAAGCTTTGAATCACAAAGTAGCTCCACTTGGTTTCAGTGTTGAATATTACGTAGAGCACAGTGGAGTCCCTCTGAACGAGCACCCCTCGCTTAACGACGGGCGTCCATATAGCCCAATGTGTAATGTATAGTGTAGTGTAAAGTAGCGTAGTGTCTAGTAGTGTAGTGTATAGTGTAGTGTGCAGTGTGTAGTGTAAAGTAGTGTAGTGTATAGTGTAGTGTGTAGTGTATAGTAGATTCCAAGAACACAGGATGAGATGTTACTATCCTTTGTGCAAGCACTTCCAAGAGTTCATGAACAGTGAGCCTGGTGACATTTGGGGAGCGCATCGTCAGTAGTGTACCTTTGGTTCCTAGGGTGTTTCGGCCTTTCACACGATACACCCTCCCCAAAGGCGGCCAGCGACAGGGTGATCAATCCTACGCTTGCGTCCCATTCCCAATTAGTCATAGGAGTTGCCTTGTTGTTGATAGCCAACATCCCATGGGACTATGCATGGCAGGGGCGTCCTCCTCCCTGAGTCAAGCATTGTTGACCGCATACCTCCTGGCCCTCTCACTTCGGGGCCCAGCTGGGGTCTTTCCTCTTCATCCAGAGCCACTGACTGCTGCCTTCTGCCGCCTCCGATATGGCTCTGATTGCCGAACGCTGGCTCTGGCCCTTAATTCCCAGGTCTCTAAGCAGTCTGGTTGTAGATGTTGCCACAAAACCTCTGCAGCCCACCTCCACTAGTCTCATCTACTGAGTCCTCCCAGGGTACTGTGAGCTCAATGAGTAGTGTAAAGTAGCGTAGTGTCTAGTAGTGTAGTGTATAGTAGCGTAGTGTATAGTGTAGTGTGCAGTGTGTAGTGTAAAGTAGTGTAGTGTATAGTGTAGTGTGTAGTGTATAGTAGATTCCAAGAACACAGGATGAGATGTTACTATCCTTTGTGCAAGCACTTCCAAGAGTTCATGAACAGTGAGCCTGGTGACATTTGGGGAGCGCATCGTCAGTAGTGTACCTTTGGTTCCTAGGGTGTTTCGGCCTTTCACACGATACACCCTCCCCAAAGGCGGCCAGCGACAGGGTGATCAATCCTACGCTTGCGTCCCATTCCCAATTAGTCATAGGAGTTGCCTTGTTGTTGATAGCCAACATCCCATGGGACTATGCATGGCAGGGGCGTCCTCCTCCCTGAGTCAAGCATTGTTGACCGCATACCTCCTGGCCCTCTCACTTCGGGGCCCAGCTGGGGTCTTTCCTCTTCATCCAGAGCCACTGACTGCTGCCTTCTGCCGCCTCCGATATGGCTCTGATTGCCGAACGCTGGCTCTGGCCCTTAATTCCCAGGTCTCTAAGCAGTCTGGTTGTAGATGTTGCCACAAAACCTCTGCAGCCCACCTCCACTGGTCTCATCTACTGAGTCCTCCCAGGGTACTGTGAGCTCAATGAGTAGTGTAAAGTAGCGTAGTGTCTAGTAGTGTA